TGCTTCAGTTGAACTAGGTTCCATGAGTCTATTTATTGTGCTGGAGAAGGTATAATCTTTGGATCTGAGAATTTCCATGGCTTTGGCTTTTTATTGACCTTTTTATGTCTTCATTCACTGCCCCCACCCCTGCTTAGCAAGCAGAACACAAAGATGACATCTAACATATCACAGTCAATTCCAAGCATTTAAAATCTGAAAAGAACACCCAGAATACCATAAAGATTGACTTGTATAAAAAATCAATAAGCTGAATTACTTCCAAATCAAAATAATAATCCACCTTATTTTTCTGCATGTAAGCTTCATTGTTTAAGGAGGTTCTCTGTTAACCATGGTGCCTTCAAGCTTGCTCTGACCATGACAAAAGAAAGATTCCCTTTCATGTATTGATATACCTCCAGAAGCTGAGGCATTGCAAAAGGCAATAGCACTGTGTTAGTTCCTGGACTAACTGCCCTTCTGTGCTCATCAAGCCTTCTTGAATCTATCCTCTCTAACTGGGATCCCTTGAGACTTACAGCACTATATTTTTTAAGGGATTTTTTCCCCACTATTACCTCTATCTTCAAAGTGCAAATTTCTCCTGAAGCAGGTGTCTCCTTCCAAAGTCAAAAGCTCCAACAGTGCCTTCTACATGAACAGGGAGATAGGGATACCTCTCCTGCCCTCCAGAAGGACCCCATCTCTCTTTTCATTTTCAAATTATTTGTTGGTTAATGAGCAGCACCTCAGGCTGTCAATCTCTGAAGAGGCACAGTGTCACAAGGACAGAATATCTACTTCTATGTGGTTAATCACACAATGCAATTTTAATCAACCTGCAAAAGAGCTCACATTAAAATAGAGGACAGATCATGCCACAGTTAAATTGTGATTTTGGTGTTGAGATAAAAAATGGATATTAATGTTCATTCTGCAAAAGAAAAGTGTACTTCATAGTACATAAATTAAATATATAAAGTTTGTTATTTTATAGTACATCTGTCTGCATATTTTAGAGTATTGTTCCATTTTATTACATTTTGATCAAGACTAATGCTCATTAAAAATCTAATATGACAATGAAAAATTTTATATGGAAAATTCTTGTCCTCTATTACAATTGCTATCTGCTCCACTTTTTGGAAACCACAGTAAATTAGACTTGGGCTATGGTAATCTTAATTATATCTTGAAATAGATGATGTTGGAAATATATTGAATAAACTCTTTTGGCGAGATTGCCTTTGCCTCTTAATTCAAACTCTATGTTCATATGCTTACATTATTTAAATTACAAAAGGCAGGCATCTGAAAAACTGGATGCTTTGTTGGGCAGTCATATTCATGAAAATTCATTCAATTGTGAGGAGGTCAAAAAAACAGAGAAGAAAAAACTGCCTGCTGATCTAAACGTAACATAAGCCGCACCATTTCATTTAAGCTGCAAAATGCATAGACTAAAAAAAACTAGTTCAATATGATCACAAAACTGTGTTCGATGAATACATCCTACTTTTAGCTAGAGAGCAGTTGTAACCCAACCTATTTACTTGCTTTATTTGAAGAAGAGAGGAAATAAGGGCCATTGTAATCAGTGACACAAACACTCTGCATATCAGGTGGCTGACATGAAAGTGACAGATTAGAACATCACCAGATCCAACACCTTGGTTTTTGCGCCAAGGTTGTATAAAAGTGAAATGTTGACTGTGAATGCAAATGAAAACCCAACCAAAGTTTTATCTTGTCTCAGCTGGCTTTGTGAGAAGCATTAAACAGAGCATGGCATAACAGGTGAAACAACTGGCAAGTTTAGCTGTGTCACGTGAAACAAGGCGTGATGATAAAAGGGGATTGGTGGCAGTAAGAACTGCCATGGGCTACGTGAAGGGCACTCTTTCACTCCCATGGCATTACTGCCCATTGGTAAAGAATGTGTTTAAGTAATACTTAGAGTAATGGTCCCAGAGCTGTGATGCAGAATGTGGACAGACCTCCATATAGAAGAGCCAACAAGCTGCCAGTGGGCACCTGAGGGAGTGTTAAGCTACTGGGATATGTTTCATGAATTGCTCAATAAAAACTATAAATAAATCAGCTCTTCCGTGTATGAAGTTTGCAACTTACAGGTGATACACTGAACCACAAACCTAACTACAGTGAATATGTGAATCAAAGCTATCTAATCCAATACCTCCAGAGGTTTTCCTAATCTCCTTGTGGAATCAACAGTGTTAGCCAATTTTTGTGTGTCTTCTTTTCTTCCTCCTTTCACTGAATTCCCTTGAAAGACTGAACAACACCTTATTATGTACTCTATTTTTTCCTAACCAATCACTAACTCCTTTAATTTGTTCAGGTAATTTCAGTCCCAGAGACACATCTCTGTGCTTCCTTGAAGACCTTCAGTATTCTAAAATCAAAACAGCAATTGCTGTCTGTTTGGTCAACCCAGCAAAAAACTGGCAAAGGAGGTTACATGGGAAGCCAGACCCCAAAATGTCACTGAGCCTAATCAGACACAGGACACTCAATGGTTCAACTCTTGCTACATTAAGACTCAAAAAGACCAGCTGGTGCTATTCAGATCAAAGCCAATGACATTTTAAAACTCTGGATTTCTAGGCTTTCTGATCTAGTCTCAGAGGAGAGTGCTAAGCTTTAGATGAAATTACCCCTTGACCAGACTGGCTAAAGGAAAATCTTCAGCACTTGCTGCTGTTCACCTCATCATGTCAGACATTGGTGACATTCACCCATGCAAAAGGAAGAAGTGGTGTCAGGCCCAAAATCATTAGGTAATTAAGAGCTCTGTGCTGATGCAAGGTTGTTCTGCCACAATGTGACTTGGACAAGCTGTCACATCAGGCTTTCTTTGTGCGGAGGTGGCTACCCTCTCAGCAGCACCAGTAAATCTAGTATCGACGTGGCATCTTTGACTGACACTTGATTCAGGTGAACTAGGACATAATGTCAGCAGCAATCTTAGCTCCACCACTTAGCTCCATTATTAAAAAATAGAGATCATTGTCATAAGATCATTTTTAGGCATATGTCTTGATGAGATTTTGCCCATTCTTCCTAGATGGTATTCAAAAGGAAATTATTATAGTTGGTGATAAAAAATGGAAGTTCTCTTTCACTGTCATCATATAAAAATCTCTACATTTGATTATGTCTTCAAGTTTCTTATTCTTTAATAGAAATATTCATGGTTTTGTTTAGAAATCAGACATGCATTTTAATTTTTATGAAAAAAATTTTTGAAAATATATTCCTGCAATTGAGCACCTTTAATCCCCTCTGCAATCAAATATAGCTTTTGGCTTCATAGAGGACTTTATTTACACACAGACTGTTCAATTAATGAAAATACTTGGATTTGTCACAAGAAAATAAGGAAACAAAAGAAAGCAGTGATTGATGTAAATCTGGATGACAACCATTTCCTCTATCTTCATATTAGAAAAACAACAGAAGAAAGATAAGCACAATTGCATTGTTACCATCATTACACTAAATTTTGCAATAATTTATTTTTTAATTTCTTGTTTATTCCTACGGATAGTAAAGGGAAAGAAGAAAGCTAATGTATCTGTATCAGGCCCAACAGAAAAATTTAAAAATTAATTGCATACCAATACAGAAGATTTTTGATAGACTTATTAAAATGTGGATCTAATTATTTCTTTACTATATAGTTTAGCATAAGTATCACAAATGGTGGTGCACCACTAGAAATAGTCTGTTGAAAGACATAAAAAAATGTTAGTCCATCAAAGACTGACAGACATCCTTGAGGTAAAACCAGAATTTCCAAGTATATGAATAAAACAAAGAATTGTAACAAATTCTCTTACATTGTGTGAATGTTAAATTTTCTGTCACAGAAGATTCCTGAAGCTCAGTAAACATCTTTCAGAATTCTTTAGTTGGGAGAAATTCTGTATAATGATTAGAACTGAAAGCTAGTTCATCTATCTCTCTGTAAAACACATAATCCTGATTCACCTATTGGGGCTACTTGTAAAGCTGATTTATCAAACTCCTTGAAGAATAGTCTGCCAGCACTTCACAGCATTGAAGTTGTAAGGGGGTTTCTATATTTTCTTCGTTGTATGCTGAGAAAAAAAATCTCTTCAGTTCCCTAAAATCATAAACCTCCTACACCCCAGTCAGCTTTCACAAGTAGAGGTTTCCTGTATGTAGAATAATCAGCCATTGATTCAAGTTCCTCAGAAGGACAGATGACCTCCAGCATTCAAAATGGAGTCTCCATGGCAGCTCTTCCCTGTCGTTCTGCACTCTAGCAGAGCCCATTTGAGCAAAAGTAAGCAGCCCAAATCATTGTATTATTGCTACTAACAAGAAAACAACAGCAAAACAACAAAAAAACCCCAAAACAAACAAAAAAACAAACTAACTATCTAACAAACAAACAACCTACCCCATTTCTATTCAAAATCTAGTAAAGAGACACGCAATTGAACATAATTTCCAAAGCAGAGGAGATACTGGTTATCTAAAAAAATTGTAAAGAGTCTTTCTAAAGTTTAAAATATCTTTATCAAGTTGCACCTAAATTTTTCTTAATAACAATGTGCTGGAGCAAAGACAGTGATTTCTTAAGTTATCCCTCTCCAGAAAAAAACAGACTATTGAACATATGGTTAATTTTAAACACAGATGGAATTAAGCATGTGCTTTAGCTCTATTCTGAGTTAGAAGTAAAAACTGAAGACCATAGCTATGTAATACTTTGCCATGTTGCAGCAGAATCAACTAAAATGTTGCCATCAGACTCTTTCATATGATTTCAATATCCTGCTTGAGCAGAGGGGGTTGGATTAGATGACCTCCAGAGGTCCCTTCCAACCTCAGCCATTCTGTGATGCTGTGAACACTGTAGAGATGAAAGCATGTTAGTTATATACTTATTGTATAAGGAATATAAACCAGTCTCATTGTTTATGTAAATAGTTAAAAAATACTAAAAGGCAAATGTGTCATTTGGATCATTCATATTTCTTTATTGAGCTTTGATGAAAAACAGTCCATTTGAAATTTTTCCAGCAACCATTTCAATTCCAAATGCTCAATACAAAAACTTGGTATCAGAGTTCAAACATATAAAGTTACATCTCATTATAATTTAATATTTAACAGCACTAATCATTTCTGATTTTTCATAATTAAGTTTACAAAAATAATGTTACATTTATAAAATAAATCAGCTTTTCCCAATAAATTACAGTGGTGTTTTTATTCAAAAATGTAATATATCGTACAAAATAGACAACAGCTTTTTGTCAGATAAAATACTAAAGTATATTTTTCCTCCAGTACAATTTGGCAGTGTGTGACAATATTTTATTGTACACTTGATATCTAAAGTTGTCTGTGAAAAATAAAGTAAGCTATTATGCACATCTCTTATATAAGACAAGGGTGGCCAGCTTGGGGACTGATCTTTATTTCCAATTATATGTTTTTAAGTCAGATCAATACTGCCATGTATATGTAGCTGAATTCATTTATCTGACCCAGTAAATTCATGCAGATCCACCTAGAGTCCAACACTCTTTCTATGACAAGTACACAAAAGTGAGCCAAATCAGTAAACTTTTGGGCTGCTCATTATCTCTCACACTTGTTTTACCTTTGTGTATCACTGTAAAGCATTGGTGGCTAACTTGTAAAAAAAAGCAGAGTCTGGATACCCTTAAAGTTAATGGCAAATCTTCAGTACCTTATTCTGTCATAAAAACTCATATTAAAAGGAACTTGTAAAAAGAGCAATGCATTAATAAAAAACAAACAATAAACAGCAAAAAGGAAAAGGATCTAAAAAGCAAACATTAATAGCTACTGTATACAGACTTTACAAAAGCAACTACTTTAAAATAAAAAAGAAACACAGTATCTACTTGGTGGTAGGTGCATTCTCATTAAAGCCTTTTGAATGTTCAGGTCAGCTCAACATTTACTGTGTTGAATTTCCAGCCTACAAAAATGTGTTTGAAGAATCATTTTGGATTGTTTGAGCAACTTTTACAAGCCAAGGGTGTAACTGCACCATCTCTGGTTGCTGTGATTAATGAAGGTGTCTGGTTCAGGATGATCCACATCTCACCTTGAAGAATTTCTGACTCTACTATGTTTTCTCTTTGCAATAGTTTAGCAAGCTGCAATATATTATTATCTCTTTTTTGTGTGTTTCTCTCTTACATATCTTCTGGTAGAAAGTCTGCTTTAATGTACTAAATCATTGCTGTCTGGAGTAAATAAAATATGTGAAGTGGTGATTTTCTTATGAAGTCAGTATTGTATGAACAACATATCACTTCATATATCATAAAGGATTACTTTCACACATTGTAATTGAGTAGTACAAATGCCCCAAGTGACCATGTGTCACAAGGTCCACTTTGTGCAAATTCACAGAGGGTCCAAATCCAGATGGGCTGTTATGGACTCCAGACACAAAGCCTAGTCAAGGTTGGATCCCCAGACTGGAAGGGGAGCAAGAGGTGGAGAAAGTGGCTCATCACAGAAAAACAAGTCATCCCATGCTTCTGAAAACTTGGACATTGAGAGGATGAGTATGTCAGTTGAGATAGTACGTTGTCTTCTGGCTGCCTTCTGGCTTGAAATACCATGGCTCAAACCACAAACACCTGGAACTGAACTCAGGCACATCTGCCGCTGCAATTAGTAAGTCAAAACTCTCCAAACAGAGAGCTACTACATTAATTACAACTTTTCAGTAGGTGAATTTTAATGATTGCTGAAATATGCATTTACTACCCAGTTAGACAAATAAACATAATGGCTACTCTTACACTGGTAAACCAAACATCACAAAGTATCCTCTTGCCCTGACATGGTCCTAGTTAGACCCCCTTGCAGTCTGCAACTTCCTTGTGAGGGCAAGAGGAGGAGCAGGTACTGATCTCTCTCTCTAGTGACCAGGGACAGGACCCAAGGGAATGGCCTGAAGTTGTGTCAGGAGGTTTAGGTTGTATATGAGGAAAAGGTTCTTCACCCAGAGGGCAGTTGGGGGCACTGAAACAGGGTCCCCAGGAAAGTGGCCACAGAAAAGCCTGACAGAGTTCAAGAAGCATTTGGACAACCCTTTCAGGTACATGGTGCGACTCTTGGGGATGGTGCTGGGCAATGCAAGGGATTGGACTCAATGATCTTTGTGGATCCCTTCCAATTCAGTTTATTCTGGTGTTCTGTGATACTCTCTGTACCCTTAAAGAGGAGGGCTGTGTCCAAAGTACCTAAAAGTGAAAAGTGTCCCTAGACTGGCCTAATTCCTGAAGTGTGCTCATAAATTTTTGGGGAAAGTACTAGTTAGCCCAAACCAAAAAGCCTACCAGTCCTTGTTCTAAGTATTTATCAATATAAATGCTTCAGCACTGGCCAATTGACTATATATAGACATAATATCTATATATGTTCTATATATAGATTTTAAGAAGTCCTCAAGCATATTCACCCAGGCTGACCTTCTGCTTCATACAAACTGTTAAGCAGGGAGGATTCAATGCTTTTGTTGAAATTTTACTTGAAAGAGATGGTCCTTTCAAATCAGGATTTTCTAAAATAGTTGGGGTTTTCTGTCAATTAAGTATGTTTTCCTTTTTTTTTCAATTCATGTGCTTTTTTGTAGCCTAATTATTCCTACTATTAGTGGAATCTTGGCCTTTGCCTGAACAACCCACTTTTTCATATCTAGAATTCACAGCTAAACAAGCACTAAGTAGTTCCATTACAAAGAAAAAATTATATACACATCTAAAACAATAATATTAAGACAACAACTAAAACAGGAAATAAAAACACAAATCTGTGCAATTATGAGATCTAAAAATAATATCTACCTCTATACATATTTGTCAGACTGCAGCATCCACAGTTACAGTTGTATGCAGTAGTCAGAACAGCATTACTTTCCAAATCATGAGGTGTTTTAAGGAACACCCACTTAGTAGTGGCTGCTGAGGAAATAATTTCCTTTATCAACCTGAGATTTTAAATGTGCAAGTGTTCTACCAATCTATGTAGTGCATGAAAAGGAAGAGAAGGAAGGAAGGAAGGATAAGACAGAGATTCAAATATTATCACAATGGTTTTTGTTTCAAAATAGATTGCTGTGCAATGACTGAAGCTTGATTTGCAGACATTTTGTATTCTTGCCCAGAGCCTTGTGGAGGAGAAGGTAATGGAGTTTCTGGAGTTGCTGAAAAAAAATAGAAATAATTATATATATTTTTATATCCTGGTCTACTCTACATATATACTCTACTGCACTGAAAAGGACTCCTGTTGCATGATTGGGAAAAAAAGTGCATTGGCATGCTAGGGAAACAGGATATTTTAATGATCAGAATTTTTAGTTTATTAAAGATTGTGCATGTAAAATATATCAGAATGAAGCTGAATTTTTAAAATTAAATTAAATTCAGGTCAAAGTCTATTACTTAACACCATTTATATACATACATTTTTAATGCACAATTATTTTAATTTAAAAATGATAATGAAATAGCTCTATGAACACTGACAGGCCACCACGCTAATTCATATTTTAAAATGAGACAGTGAAGTGTTGTGACAGAAGGCTAACATGCAATTACTTACGTATCTGTTCTGTATGTACAGGAGCAGACATTGAACTTATGAGGACAGTTTGGCCAGTTAATGGATCTTGGGCTAAGTGAGGATGCATTGGATGATGCATATGACTGGCATCATTAGAAGTACCTGCAAAAATAACATGAGCATATATCAATGCAAACGAGCATGTTGTTGCCAGTGACTTATACTTCAGTAATTACATTTCCACAGAGTAAATATTTTGATTGGCAATTTGAATAATTGCCTCTGGGTATTCATTAAACAATTTAAGCAGACTTCAAGCATATTAAGCACTGTGTTTATTTTCACTGTTTTGACTTCAATAACAGTGTGTTTCATGAAATATTTCTAAGGATTCTTTCATCTGCCGAGGGAATTGTAGGACAGCCCAGTAGTTATTGAGAAGTACACAGCAAAATCTGTAGTTGTAGGACTAAGTTAACAAGATGAACTGCCAAGACAAGAAGGCTTTAGCTAACAATTACACAACACAGAGCACAGCCAGTGAGTCAGAGTGGTAGCTTAAATCAAGATTCCCTCAACATCCCAACATACTCAATTCAACATAATACAAGATTATAAATTTAACAGGATGATAGCTTACCTCCCAGTAACATTTCCTGAAGCAAACTGTCAATTTTAACAATTCCAAATAATTTAACCAATTGTATCTGCTCAATCATTTGCCAAGTGATGCTTTGGAGTGTAGGCAGTAGAAGAAGAAGTTCTCCAAATCTTCCTCTGGAGTCGTACTGACGGTCATTAATATAATCCTCTAAACTGATTTGCACTTGGAATCGCATATTCTTAATCTTCAATGGATTGCTCAAGCCTTTTGCATCTTTAAAAATAATAAAAACTTTAAGTCAAGGCATATTACGATTTGGGAGGAGCATCTTACTGTTTTTCATTTTATTCTTTTCCATTCAGCTACACAATATAACCAGATGCTACATTAACAAAAATTACTTTCAATACAATCACATGTAGAACAATTGAGAGATCTTTTTGTAAAAATACCTGGATCAAAAAACACAATTGCTTTCAAGCAAGCATATTCATTGTCATCTATTTGAATTTCCTGGAAGGGACGAACTAATTCATCCAGAATCCGATTTGCCACTCGGCAGATCTCCATTTCAGTGCTGTTGCGATGTATTATGTAATTGTTGCCTTAGAGAGAAAGAATATCAACATAAGAATTAATCGAAACATTTTGATGTAACATACTAGATGAAGCCAATTTTCAAAAGTACATTTCATATTGCTTGATCAAGTTAATTTTTTTAAGTAATAACTCTTCCTTGCATCACACACAACTTTCCTTTGCAAACAGTATCTGTGCACATTATAGCTGTCACCCAGTAAATACTCTGTACATATAAGTACACCAACATGTAGTTACTGATTAGTCCACGGGACCAAGGCTGGTATTCGAATTTACAAGTATGAAGCAAGAAGACCTTTATGTTTAAATAACACATAAATATACTAAAGTATTGATCTTAAAATGTATCCTTCCCTGATTAAAATAATATATCCCAAGCTGAATGACAAGGATTTGACAATAGCAAAGAGGAGACACTGGAAATGCTTCTTTTTCTAGTGGATGTTTCTGTTGTTCCTAATAAAATTTAGTAACATCATAAAATTTTCAGGTAAGAAATAATCTTACCTAAAGTTTTTTGGGTTTGGGTTTTTTTTTAAATTATCCATTTTGGAGGTCTCCACTATTGCATCTAAATTCACCTTCTGGAGAACACTAGGAATATTGTGGAGCTTTCAGAAGCCACCATGCAGTTTTTGAAAGAAAAAACTGATAATTATATCACAAGAGATCCATGTCAAAATTACTCTAAAACAGGTACCTTCTCCAAGTATCAAAAATAAGCTTTGAAGCCTCAAATTGTTTCTTCTTTTGGTTTATCTGCTGATGCTCATGATATATAATTTTCTTACTATTATTTTATCATTGTTTTCCTTTTTACCTTATTAATAATCCAAATAAAATCACAAATTTATTTTTCTGTGTTTCTGTTAATTTTGTTAGTGAAACTGTATCTAGGGAAAAAACTACCTTAAGAAAGCCATTTGTACAGCTTTTATCTTGAAAGGATTTCTGGTGAGACAAATACATCCAGACCAAGCCCTTCTTATCCTTTTAATGTGAGTAAAAATAAATTCAAGCTAATTTAGAGCTATGAAAAGGCAGGCTCAAAGAGGAAGGAGAACAAGTAGCATAAAATGTCCTTGTACCACACCACCAGTGAAGAGACACATCTGAGTCTGTATTCCATATAGCCCTGCCTCACATCAAAAATCCTATCCAAAACAACCAACAGCCTGTCTCAGAAAACAGCCCCAATGCTGACCATGTCTAATGAGACCCTTTTCAGCAGAGTACACTTCAGAGTGGCAGTGCACTGTGTCAAACAAGGCTAACAAATGCCTCATCACATCACTCTCCACACATCTTGTCTTGCAACTGGGCCTCTCTATTGCATTAACCAGAAGACATGCTTCCATCAGTGACAACATCCTCTTCCCTGACAGCCATGTTCCCTTAATGCAACCCTGTGTAGGAGCCATCTCAGCTGACCAAGAATATGCTCTTGCAGGCGTGCCTCGGCACTGTACCGTGGATGCACCCATCTGCCACATGGCAGGGACAGCAGGAATGATGTTTGCATGGTGGCCATATGGGGACTATTGAGGAAGAAGTGAAAGGGCTCATAGGAAAGTGAGTTGCAGGTAGCACACTATGTAATATTTTAGCCAGTAGAGTCTTCTCTGAGTCTGAAGGACTCCTGAGAAAGCTCCAGATAAATGGTTTTCATGAAGACTGAAAGTAGTACATGTGCAACAGGCTGGCTACTCCTTTCTGAAGCAAAGGGGTTTTTATGCTGTTTTTTGTGGTGGTATTGTTTCTTTCTGATTTTTTTTTTAATGGGAAAAGGTGCAGAAAGGATGATAACATAAGGAGGCAATTGCCAGCAACTCTCTTAAATTGTAGTTTCTGCTATCCAATAGACCTTTAACTGTATTAACTCACATAAAACCATCCACCTGCTTTTGCTGGAACAGGCACGTGACATTATGTCATTAATAGCTATTTAGCATCTACAGAATGCATTGTTTGATTGTGCCAGAACAGTCGTCCCACTTAAGTGACTACATCGTTGCTAATGTACTATAACATCACCATCAGTAAGTAAAACAAAACCAATATTTACCTAAAAGTAAAATGTCCTTATATGCCATGGACCGCTTTGCTGCTCCAAGCAACAGGTGCTCCCCAGCATGTGCTCTTAGCAGGGCAACCTCATGAAAAAAACCAGCAGACTCATTAGATGATAAAGCAGTAAGTTTCAATAAGAGCAAAAGAAAGGAGGATGCATATTACTGTGTGTTAGGAACATGTTGAAGACTGTTAAGATTCCAATGTAAAATGTAAAAATCTGAACACCATAAAAACATTACTTTCTAATTAAACTGTCATCCTCTGTCATATCTAGCATTCTGTCTAGATTTTAAACATCAGGATCTGCAAAATACTTCTCTATAAATATACTACCTGCATTTATTTCCTAGTGTGTATTCCCTTCACAAAATCTTCTCTGGCATTTTAAGTTGACACTAAAGACTCCAGTGGGCTGTAATAAACTGTCACAGTAAATTTGGTTCTATCAGTGTTTCATTTTTCTCTTGAACCAAAAATTTACATGACACTTAAAAGAGCTTTTTCCCAACAAAGCCAGATATGCTAACAGAGCCACTATTGTCCACAAAGAGGATCCCAATTTGTACTAGGAGGGAACTTGTGTTTATTAGTTTTCTCTTAGTCACCTATTTACTTTCCCCTAGTTTTAATGTCTTGAAATTTCAGAAGTGACCTTTATTTCCTCAAAGAACTCATCTCCTGACAAGTATTTCTAATCCAAGCCAGTCACGCTTATGTGTTAAGACTTCAGGTTCTCAGCAGAGCTACCTTAGCTGCTTTGGTCTCCTCTGTGGTTTGTAAATCAGGCAGACTCACAGAGCAGGAATCATTTTTTCAAAACCAGATGGCTTATTTCATAACTGAAAGCACAATGCCCCTTAGAAACTGGCTATCACAAATGAAAAAGTGGCATTTGTTTTATCTTTCAACATCTTCGTCCCTACTTTTCTAAGGTACTTAAGGTTGCAGAGTATTTTCCAACATGTCCTCTTCAAGCACAGCAGGGGCATTTTCAGCCTATCATTCTAAGCTGATATTTTTTTTTTTCAAATGCAGATAGGAACATTTTAAGGATATTTGATACCTTCTCTTTTTCTACATGCTATCTTAACAATAAAAGTAGCAATATTTTTTCCTTGCTTTTGTTGCCTTTGTGTAGTAATGACATTTGAAATTCTTTTTCACATGAACAATTTAAATTTATTTGAGTATGTTGAGCTTGTAAACATATGTGCTCTGTGGGTCTGCAAAGACATCATTTAACTTCTTTTTTGGGGAATTTCCTGTGGCCTGAAATATAGCCATATTCATGAGGAACAATATAAGGGGGAATGACTCAGTTCAAACCAAGGATGACCTAACACTTGCAGGATTTAGTTAAAAAACTGGGATACTGAAGTTCATAGAGTGATTTTCAAGATTAATCAGATTTTGATGTGGAATCAAGAGATCCCAAGCAATGAATTAATCTCCTTCTGAGGCTGCTTGTCAGAGAACTGATCCCCATAATGTGGAGATTCTGGTTCTGGGTTTGCTAGCACAACCTACTCTGAAAGCCAGTGATATATTAGGATATATTACAGATATGATGTTAGATCATGCCTCTGTCATAAAAAGTCATAGGAATTTTCAAAATTTGGTGCTTTCTTCCCTTACATTTATTACATACAGTATAATCAGTATAATTTTAGTACATTGTATTGTATGAAAGATTACTTGCTATGGATTGATATCAGTATGTTTGGAATTTGATTGAGATTCTAATCACTTCTGGTTTTTGCAAGTAGAGAAGCCTTGCTTCAAATTAAATAACACGCTGTCTTATACAATATTATAATGAAAGGTGAACATGAAAGGAATACTTTTTAAGGTCAGAAAAAGTTCTGCTTCCAAAACACTACAGAAAGAACAAAACACTTAAAGCCATGCTGCCTTGCTGCTTCTTTTTGTTCATGTCTTTTCTGTTGTGGTGGTGTTACTTCACAACTTAAATAAAATAAATTAAGAGGGTAGGCCTAGTACTCAGCTCTATTTGTTCAGACAAAAAAGAATGAGTGCTTCATCCTGACATTTAAATATCACAGGAATAACAGAGCAGTAATTAGATATTTCTCTTTGGTCTCCTTTTATACCTGGTCATCGAGTGGTAGTTCACAGAAGCCTGGAATATATTTAGCCCATTCCACCAGGACCAAAAGTTGTTGCTTCATAGATTCACAGACATCACTAACACCAGCAATTTTCTTAACATTTATATCAGTGCTAGCACCAGGACTGGAAATTGAGATCTGGCAATAATGAGAGAAAAAATGAATTATGTTAACTTTCATATAATTTTATTTTCACTGGTTAATAGCATATTTAAGAAAAAATCACAGCAGTAATCACAGATACTCTTGAGAAACTCCTTGACGGTATGGACCATTACCCTGCACATAAAGTATAAATTTTTCTTTCTCATTATTACCAGTATGCATTGCAATATGCTAAAACCTTAATTAATCATATAATGATACAATATGTTCTCATTCCACAATACTATTTTTAAAAATACTAGAGCTCTTTTCATTTGTAGAAAGGAAGTGTTTTGGGTTTTTTTTCCTTTAAAATGGTTGACATTTACTTCATTTCAGAAAAAAAAAAGAAGAGTTCCTAGTGGTATGTAATAATATTAAGGGACAGAGATAATAAGACAAAGAGAATGATAAAGGGGGTAGCATATTCTTCTAGTACAAAGACAAGTATCATTAACTTTAGAAGGTAATACAGGGGGGTTTTAGTGCCTGGAGGAGAACGGTTTGTAATGATGAAGTAGTGGTATAGGCAGAGGCCTGAGATGTTTCAGAGGAACTGTAAAGGATATGAGTGTGCATTAGACCACCTGCAGGGAACAGTGTTCTGTGAAATGGCAAGAGAGCAATATCTTTCTGGGCCTGAAGCTGGGGCACTTCTACTGAGCCAATTCCTGAAATTCTTAATGACTTTTCAAGGAAAGGAACAAAACCAGGCTTTCTCTTGAGCCAGGCAGGAAAGCTGGCTTAAGATAAAGGCAAACCTGAGAAGGTAAGGCCAGTTTATAGTTGCTATCGTACTAGGGAAGCAAAAAGTAAAAGGAAACTGAAAAGAAAAAAAAAGAAAAAAAGAAAAAGGAAACAAAAGAGAAGAAGAAAAAGAAGTCAAAAAAGAAAAAGTGAAAAAGTGAAAAAGAAAATGAGAAAAAAGAAAAAGAAAAAGAAAGAGAAAGAAAAAGAGAAAAAGAAAAAGAAAAAGAAAAAGAAAAAGAAAAAGAAAAAGAAAAAGAAAAAGAAAAAGAAAAAGGGAAAAAAGGAAAATAAAAATATAATTGTACAAGGTCTATAAAACTAACTTTCCTTTTATATTTTATTACCAAAAGCATATTCAGGAAATTATGTAGCGTGATTATCTTCCTCGGGAAAATAAATTAATTGTTTGGTCTTCCACTACCACGTTCCTACACTTTTCAGGACGGTGGAAATTATTTAGTTTGACTCCTACCAGTTCCCTTCATTCATATACCCATGTTAAAGCCCCCAGTGGGATCTGTAGTGAAATCCCTTATCCTTGGGTAGTCAAAAGGAGTTGTACTTCTGAACTAAAGCTCTGTGCTTCCTACATAATTCAGTAGTGTAAAACAGTGAAAACAGCTTAGATATTTATGTCAGTTAACCAGCTGAACATTAGCTGTCTGGGAAATACACCAGCTAGGCAGGTGAAAAATTCCTCAGACACATAATTCAAAGTCTATCATGTAGGAAAAAGGTTAGAGATATTGCCTCTTTGTAGACAGGGAATGTGTGAAATCCATGCTATAATCATTAATCCATTTCTGGCATCTCCTCTACAAAAAGGAGTTTGAAAATACTGATATTCATTCAGGTGAGAGCTACCAGAACGATTCAGTCTAGAAAACCTTCAGTACAGAAAGACAGTAAAGAAATTCAATACATTTCATTTTTTTCCAGAAGAGTAAAAGGGGCCTTGATCATGATTCAAAGGTACAAAGAGAGTTCTGATAGTAGGTCACATTCTGATCTACCTGAAAATGATACTAACCATGCAGCAACTAGAAGATAATACAAGAGGGCAAAGAAGAGGTAGCTTGTTTAACTGTTAGACATACTGACTCATGAAGTTAACACATTGTCCTTCCCTTAATATATTTAATCAAAGCTGTGCATTTTTATAATTTACATCTTACATTATAAACTACAGTCTCCATGGTGAAATTACTTGGTGAACTTCTGCTGGGGATTCATAGGATGACTCCCATGGAGTTCATTGTGAACACCTAGGATTTCATGTCTTGACAAGGATATGAAACTATGAGCTTTTCAATTTCTATTTCTCTATTGCTTTAACCTGCCTCTCATTTATGGCTTACAACACAGATCTCACTGCCTGGATAGAATCATAGATTAGCACAGGTGAGGAGGGACCTTCAAAGATCATCTAATCCAATTTTTTATGGGAAAGGAATCCTGGAGATTATCTAACGTCCAATTGCATCTTGAAAATCTTCAGTGATGAGGACTCCACCACATCCCTGGAAAGGTTGCTCCAGTAATTGCTTGTTCTCACTGTAAAAAATTTCTTTCTTATATTGAGGTGAAATCTTTCCCAGTGTAACTTTTACCCATTAATGAGTTGATGAACATGAAAATATAACACTGTTGTTCTGAAAACCTTCAGGGACAGATGTCTTTACTCATATGAGAGTTCCGCATGCCCTTTTCATATTTACATAATCCTGGAAGCCTCTCCCAGGTCTGTATGAGAAAAATTGTGCTTAGACAATTCGCCCCCTTAAGGGTTCTTAAGGAACAGAATTACTAATTTTCCCTATTTATTATGAGCACTTCAAAAGGGATGAAAATATCTATTTTTCCTTATTTAATATGACTATTTCAAAAGAGATGAATGCCATCCTCTTCCTCATTTCACAGCTGAAGTACTTGGATAATCATTTGGGACACTACCACCTCCTTTAAGTGTCTTCTCAGGACTGAACTCATCTTACAGACCTATTCAATTGAGGGAAAAAGAAGTACTTTTAAGATTTCTTTGCTTTTCCATCATGCTAATAGAGTCTCTTGGACTTTGAGGCCAACATTGTATCTTCATATATGTTTGATGTAGTGGAAACAATTCTGTTGTACCAAAACATAACAAATAGTAAGTACAATAAATTTGTGTATACACAAGGAGATTTTTTTAGACCAAGAATCTACTGTTTGAAAAGAACTTTGTACTATAAACAGCTGAGGATGTGATTCAGTTCTTATTCCTGAATTGCATATACCAGTTGGAAATGATTAAGGAGTATTATAAAAAAAAGCACAATAAGCAAGTTCAAAAAATTATGAAGGAGATAAATATAGATATATTTTTCATACTGTATAGGTAGGAAAGGTAGGAAGGTCTATTATGTTCATCTAGCCTGCCCGAACATGCAATATGTGCCAAAGACTATAACCTAGTAATTCCTGCATCAATTCTTTACAGGCAGTTCCAGCCTAAGAGAGATGCTTATAAAGGATGAGATTACAAAACATTTGGGGATATATAAATCAGTCAGCATGAAATCATAAAGGTGGCAGTTAAATTCTAAGCAAGTTAGTAAGAGGTGCAAGAATGCAGAATCAATGACGATGATTTATCTGAGGTGCAGAAAAGGACTGGAGACTGTTCCATTCAGCAATTGATTCGATAGGAAAAGCAAAAAAAAAAAGAAAAAGAGAAAATGAAGTTCAGATGAGACAAAGAAAATTTAAAAGCGAGATGTGAATAGACTCTGCAGTTGGAACACTTCTGTTTGACTTACTTGTAATGTCTAAGGATATTAAAAATGGGATTTTCAAAAGAATGTAAGGAAATGAGTGTCCACACCCCTTTGAATGTAATGGCTTTGGACAAATTTTTCCCTATGCTTGCCTTGAAGCAGGGAAAGCCTGCTTCAAGGATAGATAGATGCCACCACCTGCCTAAGACAGCAACTGATTTATAAGCAGTAAGAACCATAAACCTTTATTAAGAAAGGTGCCTAAGACATATTGTTCTGGACAAAGTAGAATTTTTTTATTGACTATGCTTCAAGAATGTATTCTATTACCTCTTCTATTGAGAAGAGGAAACTGTGTGCATTTTGGAAGTAGGGAAAAAGTAATCTCAATAATTATTTTCGATACAATAAGAAACTGAGAAGTATTTAATTTTAGTAAAAGTGGTCTTAACGCCACTAAATAATTTTGTGATAGATCTCAGTACCTGGCGGGAGAGTGTCTCGGCTTGTGACAATGTGCTAATAGAGGGACTGTTGCAGCCATCAAAAGTGTTTCTTCTTGTACTTATCCTGTCCCGTTCATTTTGTACAGCTGGAAAAGAATAATCATCTCATTTATTGACTTGTAAACACTGACACAAAGAATAATTTCAGAACTTTACTAGATTCCAGATGATAACTCTAAGAAGTGAAAGGTATGATATTCAAAGATGATCTGCATTTAGCTCTGAGTGATGAGGAAGGGTGATAATACATGTTTACAGTCTCTATTGGAACACTACTTTCCTGTAAAAAGCACGTATAACTAATGTATAACTAATTGTAGATAGACACTGAATCATCTGCACTTCTGTCACTAGCTTGATTACAGTCAAACCTCTTTCTTCCTTTGAACTTGAACACATGGTCACAATTTCAACCAATTTAATAAGTCAGTCTTTATGATAACAGCAGAAATGGACATTTCCAGACTGCCAAACAGGTCAAGTGGTACAGCATCACCACAGAAAAAATATCTCTCAGAGAAAGTATGAAAACTCTACTCATGCTCTGCTGTAGGGAACAATGAAACAGGAGTGAATCATTAATTTAACCCACTGGTAAGATAATTTGGAAACTTAAATCTCATGTTCCTCCTCAGTGACACTGCATTCCTGGCCAGTTTATGGAATATTAACTAAGTTACAAGGGGGGGAGGGACGGACCCAATGCGAAAACTAGCATACCAAAAAAGTTTTAGGACAGTAAATGCAATAAGGTTGTCTCATGGGGTCCAAAAACAGGCATTTGAAAGAGCTTTGGATGAGGAATCTGTGATCAGTACAAGCAAGGCTTATGAAGCAAGAAAGTATACTTTTAAACTAAAGGAAGAAGATAAAAAATAAAAAACTCAGATCCTTCTAAAACCTAGATCATGACCAGGATTAGGCCACGGAAAATAAAAAGGAAGGAAAAAAATTGTGCTAATGGAAATCTTTCTATTGCATGAGGAACTTCATTGTCTTTTAAGAACAGCAGCTTTAGTCCCAAAGATATGTTAGCTATATTGCAGGAAACAATCTGCATTACAGAATTTAGGAGTAGTACAAGAGGTTTCAATTAGAAAAAGAAACAAAAAAAACCCATATGTGAAGTGAGTAGGTTCAGGGTTTATCTGAACAATGCACACAGTTTATTCCAGAGGTGTACTAACTTTTTTGCAGGGACATTCACTGATGGGCCTTTTATTTATGTCACAGGAAGAAACCTTGTGTGGTGATAAATACACAGTATGTTGTAGACAGGAAAGACAAAATATAACCTTTTGTAAAAGAATGCTGAAACAAACATCCAATGCTGAAACAAACATAGGCAATTAAATAAATTCAGCACTGATTAGTTTTGCAAAAATAGTAAGGTATTCTGACAATATACCACTAGTGAAAATCACTGGTGGAACACACCACCACAGGTGGATGCTTTAATTTTCTTCTACATACATGTAATTTTGGATTATTGGACAAGACTATGTGGCTTAAGCTTTATTGTCAATTCAGGCTAAAATTGCCTTAAATAGAGACTCCATGAGAAGGGTGGTACATTTGCTCAAAGAGGACTTACAAAGCTTTTAATAACTGAAGCCTCTCTTACCTTTGTCCCAAAGAAAAGAAAGAGATTTGCTAAAAACATGAGCAACTGTCATAGACTCTATGCTATACTATGAGACATGCCCTGATCATGTAGAGAGGTTATAACAAACAAAAGCAATGTCGAAAGTCTTAGATGCAGTGGGATCAAAGTAGGGCAGAATAGTGTTAAGTGGGTTAAAAATTTTGTGCCATGCACTAGGCTCCATTGGCATCTAGAGGGAAATGAGCATTTCTCTGTTTTGGGCTCCCCAGCACATGAAAGATGCTGGAAAACTAGGTAGTGTCCAGCAGAGGGCTATGGAGATGTAATCCACAAGATGCACAAGTAGATACAGGCATCTTTGTTTATGTGGAAAAAAAAGGAGCAACATGGATGCGAGGGTCTTCATCTCTGTAGCATACAGAAAATGGAGCCAGATTCTTCTCAGATGCATAATGAAAAGACAAGACCCAATGGACACAATTCTAACTGGTTATAAGGAAAATAAACCCTTCCCAATGAGGGTGTTCAAGTACTGGAAAAGCTTGCAGAGCAAGAGGTTGTTCAACCTCCCCTCTCACAGACTGTGTAAATCTGTCTGGATAGGGTCCCAAGCAACCTGACTGAACCTAGATGTCAGCCTTGGTTTAAGCGGGAGCTGAACTAGATGAATTCTACATGTCCCTTCTGAGATAAAATATTCTTTAATTCCAGGTTTTGAAATTCTGTAAAGTTCTGGTATTTGCAAAACTTCTAGGGCTGCTGCATATTCACAGATCTTTCCCTTTCTCCACATGAGATTCATAACATATTTACAATATGTTACTGACTTAATGGCTCAAGTTCCAAAAGGCCAAAGTGTCTTAAAGGAGATCCACATTAGTAGGCAAACCTATTTCACACCCTGTGCAATGCTGTTTAGAATATCCCCATACAGCTTAAAGCAGAAAAATCCATTGTATCTCATACCAATAACTTGATCACTAGCCAACAGTATCTGCTACAGGACAGATACTTAATAGCATAAAGAAAAAGCTTCCTTTGTACAGACAAAAAGAATGATAGCCACATTACAAGAGAACTAAGCATTCACATTTCAGGCTGGCCTGCAAGCAGATGCACCATGCTCCAAACAAAAAAGGTAGCAAAGTTTGTGACAAACCACTTTTGAGTGTGTATTTGAAATGGGTATCTTTTGTCTCTACATCATTATTGTCTTTGAAACAACAGCCCAAAAAATAAACCCTCTAATATTTGCACTGCTCTTCTTTCACTGCTGCTCTGCTCCTGTGGCGATCTGGTTCTTTGACTATGACTGAAGAATCACTGTGACACATGATTCTCATATCTGTCAGTGAGATGCTATGTAACAATTTTCCTATATTAAGCCCTAGGGAAATTAGATTTTTTTATTAATTAATGTGCACACTCCACTGATAGCTACCGCTACTCTTCTCACTACTTTTTCACTCAACTTCACAATCCTTTGTCTGGCTTAAATGTTTCATACATTTAAATTTAAGGGAAGAACCAGTAAACTGGCCCTGCCATTACTTAGGGCAGGGGAAAAAAAAAGTCAGAGATTTTTTTACTCAGTTTTGGTAAATATTTTAAGTAAAATCTCATGGTTTGAAATATTTCAGCATATGGCTCAATATGTAGAAATCAATTAATTTTGGTACCGGAATTAATGAATTAAACACTTGCAAATTCACTTTAAATCCAGGGACTTGTTAATGCTCCAAGTGCTAGAACTGCTTACCCACTTGCAAGTTAGAAGGCATACATTTCACCTCAATATAAAATCACTTTCCCATTATGAAGGCATTGTGGCAGACTTTCCATTGGTTTATTCTGCTGGAGTTTTTTAGAATTTTCATTATATTTCAAAGCTAATTTGGGTTTTTTCTCTTTGTATATCAAATAATAAATGACTCCATTACCTTCCTTTTTCATTCCTGCTCGAAAACACTTTTTTAAACGACAATATCTGCATTGATTCCTTTTGTCCTTGTCAACAATACATTGTCGGTTGAATCTATCAGAGACAAGAAAAGGTAAATATATAAAGCATTAATAAAGTAGCACCCTGATTACAAAGAAGAAAACAACTAATCTGTCCTGTCAGAATAATGTCTATAACCACAGAATTTCTTCTTCAGTTGTATTGATTATTCTTCTTTATTAATCAGTTTTGAGAGGTGTTTTACACCTGCTAATTTTCTAGGAATATATGTGTGTGTATAAACATGTGTATACATTGGAATAGCCAAGTGTGGAAAATTTTGTAGGTATGTACATAATTTATACCCCAATTGATTTGTGAGGTAAATCAGTAACTGGCTGCATCAAATGGAAGTGGAAGAAAAAAAAAAAAGAAGAAAAGCTGCAAATGGATAAAGGAAAGGACAATCAAAGAAAAAGACAAATGTTGTTGGCATAGAGGAGCCCTTTAGCTGCAAAACCATTACCCTGGTCTGGCAGTGTTTACTCCTTCTGGGAGGTAACAGTGAACAAACTGCATGTTTTATCACTACATGTGGCAACCTGAACAGGAAATGAGAGGAACCAACACAATGAAATAAAGACTTGAGGAAATACATGGAGCATGACACTACAAGGCAGCTTACCCAGGCTATTACGCACATCTACTGGTGTGCCTAAAGGAAATGCATATGAGCCATTTTCCCCTCTCTCTGTCTATGTCTGCCTTCTTTTCTTTGCACGTGTTTGTTAGATAAACACACTCTGAAAAAGCATAGCTCTTCCTGACATCACTTATGTCAGCTCTTAACACACCACTTTAGGGGTATGTCTATGCTATATCACTATATGAAGCCTATAAGGGAGAGGTTTCCTTCTAAGAATATTACGCAACCAAAGAAGAGTGTAGGAAACATTTCCAGTAACAAGCCATTCTTATAATAGTTTTATTGTCACCCCATGCAATAGCACAAGGGGACAGAGACTGGGGGCTACAGTCAGTTCACCACGTTTTGTCTGCTGCTGCTTCCTGCTCAAGGGAGGACTCCTCTCAGTCTTCACCTGCTTCACTGTCAGGTCCCTCCCAACAGAGACAGTTCTCCACAAACTTCTCCAATGTTAGTCCTTCACATGACCTTAGTTCTTCATGAACTGCTCCAGCATGGGTGCTTTCCAGTGCACGCAGTCCTTTAGGATTGGGCTGCTCCAGCAATGGGTCCCCTGTAGGATCAGCAGTCCTGCCAGAAAACCTTCTCCAGTGTGGGGTCCTCCTTCAATGGGGCAGGTCTGACCAGGAGCCTGCTGCTGCACAGTCTTCCCATGGGGTCACATCCTTCTTTCAGGCATTCACCTTCTCCAGCAGCGGGTCCTCCATGGGCTGCAGGTGGACATCTGCTCCCCTGTGAATTTCCATGGATTTCACAGAGACACGTGCCTCATCATGGTCTCTATGATGGGCTGCAGGAGAATCTCCTGTACTTAGAGCACGTCCTCCCCCTGCTTCTCCACTGATCTTCTTCACTAACTGCAGAGCTGTTCCTCTCTCATGTTGTCACTACTCTCTTCTCTGGCTACAATTTTCTTCTGCACAATAATTATTTTTTCTTCTTGAATACATTATCCCCAGAGACACTACCACCATTGCTGATAGCAAAGCTCAGCTTTGGCCATCTAGGAGCTGGTTGGCATTGGCTTCAACAGACACAAGGGACATTGCTGACAGTTTCTCACAAGAATCCCCTCTTGTAGCTCCATCACTACCAAAATCTTGGCATGAAAACCCAATATTCCCCTTCAGTGATTTGTTCAAATGCATTGAGTTTTCCATATATTCCGCTCATGACTCAAAATGGACAGTTTGGAGCCCTCAGCCTACAAAGATAATTTCATCAAACATGGTGCAGTGTGATGTTTTGGGCACCATTTGGAAATTAACAGATTGCCATTCAGACAGACAGGGGAAAATGGCTGTTCAAAAGACCTGTGTGTCACACCAGGTGGGAGTATGTGCAGATGTGTAGAGTCCCTAAAACAAGACTCATAAATCTTCCACTTTCTATTCAGAAACTACCTTCATAAGGAAAGAATTTTAGAAAACAGTTAAGCATTACAATTTTCATATGATCATTTTTCCTTTTTTTTTTTTTTTTAGGAGATGACTTTTGTAATCATAAATAAAGGAGTGAAACAGCTTCTGAGTGATGTGATGATATCAACAATATCATCAAGCACCTGGAACATAGTTTCTGGAATGTGTAATATCAAGTAGCATTCCTTAAGAAAAAGCTGAAAATCCCCTGAAATAACTGAAAAATTCTGATCAAGTACAAATATAATTTTTGCTTAAATTCATTAATTTAGTACCTCTAGATGAACTTTTGAAATACCTGCATGAATAGACGTGGTTTTTCCTTATGCTACGTCTAAAGAATCCTTTGCATCCGTCACAGCTGGAAGCACCATAATGTTTTCCAGTCGCTCGGTCTCCACATATTGCACAGAGACTACTGACCCCGTTGTCAGCAGCATTCATGTTGACAGCTTCTCCTGAACTGTCTGACAAGAGACAAGAACATACATAGTTATGGATAGGACTTCCAAAAATCACACCATAAGCAGGTTGTACCTAAACAGGCTTTTCCTGGCCTTTTCTCTTTTAATTGCCACTTACGATTCATAAAGCATGACCCATCTGATTACATCTGGTTCTTACTGACATGAACACTTTCAAAGTGATAGAGATGTTAAAAGAATTTATGAAGTTCATAACAACAAATAATTGTGGTCTAAACAAAAAATTTAAGTGCACTTCTGCATTTATAATTACACATATGTTCCTTCTAACATAAAGAGGAACTTTGGTACAAAGCAGTCTTAATTGGTAAAGATCTCATGTATCATACAAGCTGGCAATAGCTGGCAACTCTCTTAAAAAGATTGATGACATTAAAAACAGGAAAAAAGATGGATTTTGTACAACTTAATTTAAAAAAAAAACAAAAAAACAACAAAAATACAGGCTAAGAGCATTAACACACTGTTAACATGTCTGTTATTTCCTTGAAGATATTTTTGACAGGATCATTGGTGAAGTTTTTCCTTGCACAGAATATTAGCTACATGATTAACAATTAGTCATTGAATATGGTAAACAACTACTGAATAAAATCACCTGAAATCAAACCAGGTATAGTTATTCTTTGAGTCACAATGTTAACAGACACATTCAAAGAAACAACTGCAAAATAGCTTTTTCTGTTTTGCTTCTGGTTTAAACTGAAGGAAAACATACCCTAAGCATTTATAGCTGTTTTGTCCAGGAGAGAAAAGAGTGCCACATTAATCAGATATGCAAAAATGAATTCAAAAGTCAACTACATGAGTTCATGAACAGTATACAGGATGAACAGTAAAACTGTTAATATTGATACATAATGTTACTTGTATAGATCCAACCGAAATGTAAAATACAATACATTATAAAATTTTCATTGCGTCCCACAGAGCTTAAAAGTTAAAGAGTTCTTCAGATACAGAGAGAAGTGGCCTTTCTGTTTTCTTTTGGTTTGGTTTGTTTTGTTTTACTGAGTTATAATTGATAGGAATTACATTAAAAAATTATTAAACTAAAAGAAATCTTAGAGGTAAGAATTCAGTTCCATAAAGAATTTATTTTAAAATTACGATTGTCATGACTGGAAAATTTTAAACTATTTTTAAACTAGTTACAGAATTGTTTAAAAAAAAATACTTTTCTTTTGGAGTTTAGTAGCTTTGCATCATATAGCAGAATAATTGAAAATAAAGTATTTAAATGTTATGATGAAATATTTCACAGCAATATAAGTTGTGTTCTGAACCAAAATGTCTAGAAAACTGATGTGGTGTTGAAAAATTCTTTGATTTCAACAGAACTGTGTAATCTGCCTGAACGTGACTTGTTAAACTTCTCTACATGTTCCTAATTAATTTAAACCGCTAGAAAAGATAGACTGGAAGGTTCATAAGGGGCAGCTTTCAGTTCCAAACTAGCACTGTAACAACACAATTTTTTTTATAAATGCTATAAGAAAATATTTAGGCTAAACTCAAAACAAACTCGAAACGTAAAATGCTGCACCTGATAACTAATAATTATCAAGCTAATCACTTACAGTGATATTTAACCAGCTTTATCGCCAACACATAATGCAACCAAGCACAACCTCCCTAATCTGCCTTCCCATTTTATTTAAAATTAACAGATCCAAAAGGGTGCTATTCAGCAAAAAGCAAATGACCAATGAAATACCCATATTAGAACAAAAAAGCAGAGAAATCATCTAAAGTTATATAATCATTGTTGACAACTACAAATTTAGTTAGTGCATAAAGTTCTGTTTTTTCTTCCTACATCAATAACCAAATCTAACCTTCTGTTTACTAAGCTTGCTGTAATTTGACATCAGAAATTCAGATAAAACTTAAAGCCCAACAATAAAAAGTTAATTAGGTTCTATATGGCAGGTGCTAAATATTTTTCCTGCAAATCACTCTATATCAGTTCTGTCTTTTAAAAATACATACTACTATAGAACTAGGAATTATCCTTTAAGACACAATAAACCAACATTTTTAGTGTATTAAAAGATTTGAAAGGCCATTTTTGAGTAGCTTAACTTGCTTGATAATTTTATTCACAATTCTTTTTGGTTTTTTTGTCAGTACTACATGGCAGAATGAAATGGTATGCTTTCTATTTCAAGCATAAATTATTGAGAAAAATTCTCAAAAATTGCATATAAAATAATCTACCTAAAGTATTACATTAGCCAAATGTAAATACTTTTTCTCAACTAAACATTATTCTCTAAAAAACCAATGTGATTCTTTTTAAATCACTCTTGTGCATATATACACTTAGCTAGAAAGGCTAGATTAATAATGCTTAAATTAAAAAAAATATGAGTATAACAATTAGAAACTAGGCATCAAGAAACAGTAGCTAATTTTTTCCACAAACCTCTAGATAATTTTGTCCTTTCTTTCTGAAAGTTATATACAAAATATACGTGCATGTCCAAACTGTCAATACTAGTTATTCATTCGTCTTACAGTAAATAAAACAACTGCTGAATAGACCTTTTTTTTTTTCCTTTGATTAACTGACTGGTGACAGTACAGCTACTTTATTATATATAACCTCTCTTTTATTTTCCTTAAAGAATTATAATGTTACTAACTCAGAGTCAGCGATGAAGTGTAAGAGAGCAGATTTGTAGTTTCAAAACAACCCCCAAATGCTCCATTAATAAAACATTTAACTAACACCTTATAGCATTACTACACTTTTCTGTTAACTGGCTTGAATTTGCCTCAAAGGGCAGAACTCACCATTGCCATTATACAGAATCTGCATAGTTTCGAACTCCAGTGCTGTATATGTTGGATCTAAAACTTCACTGTAGTTTGCCATTTCCATGTCCAGTATCGGTTCTGAGAGCCGCATCATTGAATGCAAAGGCAGTGAAAAAGCTGTTCAAATGTACAACCTTCCCATTCTGTTTCACAGTGATTGATAATCCAAAGTTAACTATAACTGTGTCACTTGAGTGCAGCAATGGGAGGAGCTGGAAAACTGCTTCTGCATGCTGTATTTTACCTGGGTTTTTTTTTTTTTTTTCTTTTATGATACAGTGCAACATTTCTGATAATCTTGGAATGCTTTTTGAAATAATCTTATCAGGAGTTGTACTGATTCAAGTTCTTGCACGAACCCAAGGACATGCAGGAAGCTTCCCATCCCTCATGCCTTGCACATTTTGCTGTCAATGTGTGGTACGAACAGTTCTAAACAAACTACTCTGGTTATTCTATGTAGAAACTAAGGTCATATGCCATTTTTGCTCTCTCACTTTAGAACAATAAGGAAATGTGATATGACTATGGACTATCTCAAACTATACCCAAATCACCTACCTACATATTTTAAAAGACAGCTGTAAAATCTCCCATTTTACAGCTGGTAATGTTCTTTCCCACTGGCAATGACTTAGGCATCCTTAAGCAAGGCTTCAAGTCACACAAGTCTGCAGCAAGGCCCATTCATAAATCCCCTCCATCACATACTGTGCTGCTGCAATGGCTCCAGGCACTGCACCCTGCAGCCTCTCAGACAGTGGCTTCCTGCTCTAACCCTTCTTCATACAAAATGTGATGGCTGCATGGCATTTCCAAGCACCAAGAAATATTAACCACCTTCTCTGTAATGAAGAATCTCTGGGTGGGTCCACAGCTCATCAGTTGGTAGACATACAAACCCAGTTAAAAACCCTCCTGTAAAGCTGCTTGAATCTGTGCCAAATATATAGCTGAACAGCAGAATTTCACTTGCTGATCTGGTGCTTTCAAATGTTGGATAGCAGAATTTCAAATGTTATTATTCTCAATACATTCTTTACAGAAAACTACTCTTTGCACTCCTAAAAATAGTTACATAACGATTACATATATAAGAAAACTACTCATTTTATACCTAATTAAGAAACACTAGTAACTGTGTATACAATATTGAAATGCATATTTGAATGAAAAAATGTCTGCAGTTCCTATTCAGTAAAAGTAGCTGTAAAAGGGCACCATAAATTAACTTCTTGATTAAATAACTAAATAAATATTTTTAAAAGCAATTTATAATAGACAAGCTACCAATGAAGGAGAAAAATTTACACTAAAAGTCCTACAAAAAAAGCCTTTCAAAATTTATCCTTCTAATATCCATGTCCCCAGGGTTACCTGAGAGTCACAAATCATCCCGTCTCCTTGTGGACACGTAGATGCAGTCTCAGGCCAGTTCTCCTCCTGACTCCAGCAGAGCCCAGTAACATAATTATGACAACAGGATTCTTGTATAATTCACAGACCTATCCCTAAACCGAAGCATATTTACAGTTGTGTTACTGCTTGCACAAATTCTCCTCAGATTTTGGAAGGTCTCCACAGGGGCTGTCCTTTTCAACATACTGCTATTCATTTTTCTCTAAACCATTAATCCATTATTATATTTAATGAGATATCAAAAAACTGCAAAAGTTACGTCTTAAAAAGAGCAGCTGATATGACTACAAATACTTCCTATACATGGCAGAAGACAAATAATATAAAATATGGTAATTTTTAAATATATTTAAGAATATGACTGAAATTTTAGAATATTTACTGCCTACAGTCATGGAAAAAAATACTCAGAAAGTGTAATTTCACAGTAGTGGAAGTGTACAAGTTTTCACAGTGTTTAAACACAGCTAATATTTCTTTCTTTTACTTAAATAAGTATATTAAATTAAGATTAGTGAAAAGCTATTTGTTGACAGCCAATATTGTTTAGGAAATCACTGTAATTTCATCATGAGATGGAATAATTTTATATTACCTGATGGCTCAGTTTGGAAAGTTTCTTCTGTAGCAGTATTTGTTGTATTTGCTACAACCATTTGTTGTATTTGTATAGTATTTGCTATAAAACTAATTACTAGTTACATAAAAAGTGATTCATTGCCTTAATATGCTACTTAGCG